TGTAATAGAAAAGAGTTGGAAGAGAAATCTCAGGGGAATTCATTCTAACATTTCACTAAGTTTCCTACGTCTTGTTTCCTTTAACGAAAGGAGATTTTTTCATCAAATAGACCTTTCTTTGTTATAGAATAAATGCATAAATCAATTATTTTGAACTTAGTGCTATATACATACGGAACTTTCTCAAGTTTTGTAAAGATGGAAAATTTCAAAAATCTAACAGATGAACCTGAAAAATGGTAACATGCAAGAGAAGATTTGAACTCAGTTCATTTCATTTTCATAAGTTCCATTCCCAGCTAGCCTACTGATTCTAGGCAATGTCGGTGCAAGGTGTTCAGATCTTATCCTTTATCCCGTTTCAGCAGTGGATCAAAGCGATCAGTATAGGTAAGTGTAAAGATCCAATGAAGATCAATGATAGCAACAAAAATAGCTTTTTTCAAGGTTTGACTACAGCGATGTGAGTTTTGGTAACACTCACTCCCAGGGGGCTACGGTGGCAATCACTTGTACGACAGGAGGGCAGCCAGCAACTGTCGAAGGATATGATCAGGTAGGCTGGAATCTTACTATGTAATTTGCACCCCCCAGAGTAGCTTAAATTAATTACAAATGTGGACTTTATACGTTTTTATAATGCGAAAGTATCATAGTATCTCTAGGTAGTTAGTTATATGAGAATTGCATTTATAGGAGAATATTGATTTATATAAAGTTTCAAGAACGCCTCGAAACCATTCCACATCCATTTTCTTCGGGTAATCAGCCCTTTACTCATAAAATACACGCGTTTCCTTGGAAGCAAATTGTTTTCATAGTGGTTTCTCTATCGTTCCTTGGATACGTACATAGAAAAGGGCGCCTGCAGCTGGTGTCAGCTCACCCATACGAATTTGTCTCAAATTTATATCCTCTCAAAGATTGAGCGGTCTCAAAGCCAGCTTTACGGACGTGCTTGTTAGATGAAAAAATACAAAAAGAAAAACTAACATTCAGGACATACCCCAAAAGAAGCAAATTAGGTTTTTTTAATTTTTTAGAAGCGCAATGCAAAATGGAAATCATAGATTTGGTGTATTCAAAATAAATCAAGCAAATCCAAATTTTCTGTGTATTTCGGGCTTGGACTGCAAGAATGTTGAGAAATGACAGCGTGTGATTTGAAGCTGAGAAACTGAAGGTTAAACCACCGTGAAAGATAATGTAGAATAAACTCTAATCATCTATTCCCATTCTTCAAAGAGGGTCATAACCGCAAATTTCAAGATCCAGGATTAGAACTAATATAACATTAACGTCCTTTCAAATCCTTTCATCTAAATATGTGTCATTATCGTTTACCAACCTCATCTCTCTTGAGGTTTGCACTATTTTAGTTCATGTTTACCAAATTCTGCCGAGAAATGACTAAAGCAAAGGCAAAGCTTTTCCTTCGATTAAAGGTCATACGGAAGTTAATAACTGTAAAAAAATTTCTTCAGAAATTCATATATGTGTTAATACCGCTGTTTTTGGGAAAGCGTCCTTCATAGATAGCTCTTGCTTCCTAACATGTCGCCTTTATAGCCTTGAATTCCATGTTGTTGGTGCAATAACTCTCTACCTGGCAATGAAGTTGAGAAGTTTTCTATTCAAACAATTAGTATCAATACTTTCAATCATTTCGCATGACAATTTTCCCTTTCCGCCAACAATATCGTGAATGTCAGAATCCCTTGACTGATTGCTATTTTTAAGAGAGAAGAGTGACTCATAATGAGTGTCTCCTGAACCTCTCTGAACCTCTAAGCTTCTAGGAAAGCCGTCAAGCAGTTATTTTTATGTGCTCGAAAGAAAAATTATTGACATCAAAATTTGTAGTTAGCAATAATTTACTTTGGGGAAATCGCATTTTACATTTGAAATTGGGGCTTGGCTGAACTTTGACATGAAGTTTATTGAGTACACCTTCCATACAACAGTTTTCTAATAGGAATAGGTTTACAAGCGATTTCTCAAGTTTTCATGCCATCGCAACAACACAACTTTTAAAAAAATATATTTTGGAATAGGAGATGATTAAGTGCACAGAGAGAATATTTTCCCTTTTTTTCTATTTAACCAGCATCTACCTCAACTTATCTTCATTATGTAAAGTCTGATGACTGCAAAACCTTTGAGACAAATGTTGTACGTATTTCTTATTCAAAAGCAACTGTCTCTCGAGTTGCTCACATGGAAATTAGTCCTCTAAATGCATTAGAGAATGCTACCTTTTTCGCGACTTCGTATACAACCGCAATCCAACTTTAAAAATATATTAAGAAAAAATATTTTAGCAACGGACGTCAATCTCAGCAGCGCCGAGCTTACTAGCCACTTGCACCAATGTGGGT